ACATGCAAACTCCATGAACACATTTAGGGTATGTCTAGACTACATGCCTCTGTTGACAGAGGCATGTAAGTTAGACATACCGACATAGTCAATGAAGCGGGGATTTAAATATCCCCCACTTCATTAGAATAAAAATGGCCAACACGTTGTGCCAGCTCAGCTGTTTGTCAGCACAAACTGGCAGTCAAGACGTGGATTGGTCAACAAGGAAAGCCTTTGCCGACCGATCCCTTATACCTCGTGAAACGAGGTTTACAGGATCGGTTGTCAAAGGCTTTCCTTGTCGACTGATTCATTGACTATGTCGGTATGTCTAATTTACATGCCTTTGTCGGCAGAGGCATATAGTCTAGACATACCCTTAGAGTCTTTTGACTCTTTGATTACAAGTTTTTGAAGGAAGGTTAATAAGAAAAACTATTATTAATATATAAAATACTGATAATACTTTTCAATATATCCACCATTGCACAACATAAATAATACACTTGAAATCAGACTTATTCCTTAAAAGTACTATTTGTATCTATTTATATCCTTGGTGGAACTCAACCAGGTATTTATTTATATCTGAGATGTAAATTAGCATACACAAAAATAATGTTTGTACTTTTACATGCTTTAGCTGGGACCAAATGTACTTTAAAAGTCCGTTGTCAAACGGTACATAATGCACCTTAGACACAGCCATTGGAAAAGACTTGGCACGTTCACCCTTCTCAAAACAGTTGTTTTAAAGTGAAAAAAATAAGCCATTTATGTGTATATTCTGCTGCTAAACATACATATCCCCTAAAGGGTTTAATATAAGCTACTCATGCAAAGATAATAGAATAAACTACTCTAATTGAAAATCCAGCTCTTCCAGCTTCAATATTCAGGAGACAATAGTGAGATCTATTAGTCAGCTGAGAGAAACTGCCCCAGAAAGTGGTGAAAACCCCATTATTTGATTCACTTACACCATTGGGCAAATATTAAGAATGTAGTGTAGCAACCAGTGGAAGAGCAATGAAGTAGGTGATTTGATCTATAGGCTTTATCCATCTCTAGTTTCTAAGGAGCACATTGTCCTCACCCTCCAGGGGAAGAACTAGAACCCAGGGAAAGCCCACTTAAGTCCTTATGAACAGTTTAAAAAATAAGTGTTCTAGCTCCCAATGGGGCTAAACTGCCAGGACCTCTTTTACCTGCCACAGATTCTTGAACAGGGCTGGACAAAATATGATCTGCAGGCCACATGTGGCCCATGGAAGCCTCAGCCAGCTCCCACTGGGCACTCAGTAAAGTCAGCTGCAGAGCCATGTGTATGTCTCTGAATGCTGAGAGCCTAGAGGGAGGGGGCAGAGGCTTCTCATACTGCCCCCACCCTCAGTAGCTCCCATTGACTGGTTTCTGGCTCAGAGCAGCTGCCAGTTTGCAAGACAGGCAGCATGTGAAGTACCCTTCCCAGATATTGCCTGGGCTCACAAAATTCAATTCAGAGAAGCAAACATGATCCCTGAAGCTGCTCTAGGCATGTACAGGAGATGCTCCACAGGGAGCCTAGCTAAAGAACCTGCTAACTGGGAGTTGCCCAGGTAAGCATCTCCCAGCCACAGCCTGCCTCTGCACGCCAGCTAACCTTTTGAATCCCCATCCCAGCCCCTCATCACCTGCCCAATCACTGCCCCTCTTACACCCATCCTCAGGTCACAACCTGCTCCCAGACCTTGTACCCCAATCCAGTATCCCTGGTCACAATCCAAATCACTGCACCCCCTCTTGCTCCAAGTCACAATTCATTCCCAGGCCCTACACTCCCTCCTCCTACACTGCTTCCCCAAGCCAGAATCCTCTTATGTACCCATACCCTCTCCCAAACCCCACACCCCAATCCCCTGTCCCAGGTCACAACACTAACCCCTGCACCTCTACCCCAGATCACAGTCTCTTCCCAGAACCTACGCCCCTCCTAAACCCCAGTCCTCTGCTCTAGGTCACAATCCCCTCCTTTGCCCAAAACTCCCCCCCAGATCCCACACCCCAATCCATTACCCCAAACTCTCTTCTGCACCCAACCTCCATCACAGACCCCGCACTTCCTCCATTAATATAATGGACGAGCGTGGCCCTCGACCTCTTAGAAAATTCTAGGAGTGGCCCCCTCCTTCACAAATTATTGCCCACACCTTCTCTTGATCCTATTGAAAGGGTTTCTAAAGCAAAGAGGAGTCTGCAAAAATATAATGGATGTACAGGCTGCATTAACTTTAATTGGTTTCATGCTGGTGAGGACAATGCTTAACACCCATTTCCACATGTCAGCATGGAGCCTAGGGACTATACCACAGATATGTCTCACCTCCACTTTGAAACAGAGGAAGACCCCCATGCACAGGCCTGGCTGTACATGATCTGGGCCTACAACCTCTACAAATTACAACTTCAAGATCACTGATTAATATTTATTGTCTTCTCCAAGTAATGGGTTTTTAAGTTGCTATTTTAATATATTGTTTTTTCCAATTATCAATTACAGTTTCCCAGATGAAGACTGGAATTTAGCCAGCACTATGACGTCTATCCTGATCATAAGTGAAGAAGATTAAAAATAAACCCTTAGTAAAAGTCATTTTAATGGTGTTTCATTTTTTATACGATCCTAACTTTTGCTGCAGCAGAAGTGGCAAAAATATAAATTTAGTTGATATCATAATGCTTGAAAGAACTAGAAAGAAAAAGTTATTATAACAGGTTACAATTACTAAGGAACCACCCAGGAAAATAAATAAATTAATATTAAGCACTGCCAAAAATGACAAGTACTGAAGGAAGAGCTAGAATTTATTTAAAAAGAGGAGATAGATAATTGTAGTTCAGTGAATACTAGTGGTGATGCAGTTTTATAAATATAAACTAGTATAAGCCAGAATGTCTCCAAGACATAATAACATGATACAGGAAACAAGTAAAGTGATATATTTATTTTAAAAAAACAACAACAAATGGTCTGGTAGCACTTTATAGACTAACAAAACATGTAGATGGTATCATGAGCTTTTCGTGGGCACAACCCACTTCTTCAGATGACTGATCATCCGATGACTGATCATCTGAAGAAGTGGGCTATGCCCACGAAAAGCTCAAGATACCATCTACATGTTTTGTTAGTCTATAAAGTGCTACCAGACCATTTGTTGTTGTTTTTTTAAAATAAATATATCACTTTACTTGTTTCCTGTATCATGTTATTATGTCTTGGAGACATTCTGGCTTATACTAGTTTATATTTATAAAACTGCATCACCACTAGTATTCACTGAACTACAATTATCTATCTCCTCTTTTTAAATAAATTCTAGCTCTTCCTTCAGTACTTGTCATTTTTGGCAGTGCTTAATATTAATTTATTTATTTTCCTGGGTGGTTCCTTAGTAATTGTAACCTGTTATAATAACTTTTTCTTTCTGCTTGGCCCCACCCCCAGTCACGTGGCCTGTGAGTGGCCCCGCCCCCGTACATGCAAAAGTGAGCGGCCCCGCCCCCAGGCGCCCGGCAATCCCAAAAGGTTGGGGACCACTGTGTTAGTCTATAAATTGCTACCAGACCATTTGTTGTTTTTTTCTGTAATAGACTAACTGGGCTACCCCCTGAAGCTATTTATTTCAAGTTTGTTTCATTTTTATATGGTGAAAGTGACACTGATACCAGTGGTACGAGCATGCTTTCCAGCTCTAAGAGACATTAGGAGTGTGGGACAACTTTAAATCAAACGAGAGTCCAAATGTGTTTAGAGCATTGAGGAACTGTCAGAAATATTGAGGAACAGGTCTCTGAATCCATGGAGATAGATAGTTATTTTGGGCTTAGAAGTGATAAGCATGTTGCTTTTGCTATTGGTACTTGAGCCTCCTGGTATATTAGTAATACACATTTTTTTAGTTTTCTTTAACCGCAAGCTCACTTCTAGCCCTTCAATCTTCTGAGGTTGGTAAACTGCATCCTGTGCACATGTGTAATCTGTATCAGAGACTTTCATCTGAGAGCTGAATGTCTAAGGCATGTCAGCTCTAGGAG